GGAATGACACCAGGATGAATAAACGGATCACCATGCCAGCCTTTTACATTGTGTTAAGCACCATTTGTCTCTGAAAATACTGGTCCAGATTTTCATTTTTTTAGAGTGCAAGATAAAGCAACCACCTGAATGAGTTTATAGTCTTCAGTAGATAAGATATAAATACAAAAAGTTTAAATAAAGAGATTATAAAGTCACAAAAATTATCAAGTGAATGGTATACTGTATACGCTTGTAAAAGAGTGTAATTTAAAAAAAAAACTTAGGGTACAAGTGTATACTCAGATCCAGCTCTGTCACTGACAACTCACACGGTATTAGCCACTCCCTTAATACCTATGGACCTGAGATTCTTTGTCTATAAAAAGAAGGGGTTAGACCAGACAATTTCTAAATTCCTTTCTTGGAATCTATGAGGAAAACTAAAGAGCAGTTGAACACTGACCTGGATATAAGATATGATTTAGATGGGCGGAATTGAGTCTGGGTATCATTCAGGATGGAAGAAATGGCATGAGGAAAAACCTAGGGCTTACCTGGACAGCAGTGGGCGCATCATTGTGGTTGCATTTACTCTGAGAGTTCATGGACGTGGAGTAGTGAGGTAAAAGTAGAAAGTGTGTCCTTCTCTATAGCTGTAGTTGTCTTACACACCTGACATGTGCACAGTGAGCCCTCAGGAAATACTTGTTATAAAGGGGACCTTGCATATCTAGAACTAGCACAGCTGAATTCTTTGGAGGGGGTATGTTGTTTTTGTTGATACAGAGAAAAGGGGGAGGGTTAATTGCAGTTTGTAGTCACAAAAGCTATGTCAGAAACCCAACTGTTGATCTTTAAAACAAGACCTTTCCACCGGAATGAGACAGCTTTCAAAAAGTTAAGACTCGAGTGATAGTTATCAACTCAAGGCAAGGTGTAGAATTAATGTTAAATAACTGCCCCCACAGCCAGGTACTGGCTAGGTCGGCTAACTGAACCTCTCAGGCTAACTTAACCTCTCAGGCTGTACCACAACTTGGAAAATAGGTGCTAGTTATATAGACATAAAAACTGAGGCTCAGAGATGAAAAGAACTGTCTTCTTCATAAGCAACTAGTCAGAGGCAGAGCCAAGTCAGGAGCTCAGCTTCTTTCTCCTGGGTCTCATAGGTAAGATACTGGAGTTTCTAACTCCAGCCACAAACCATGTCTTAAAAATGACACCATAAGAGGACATTTATAAAAATATATATATATATATATATATTTATACGTCTGACCCCAACTCCAGGGAAATCCAGGCCTCAGTGGTCATGTTTTAACAAGCTTGCAGTATATATTCTAAATACTGCAGGTATTGAAATATAGCTGTAAACTATACCTCTCCAAGCTACACATAGGAAAACACTCATTTATCTAATTTTGTTTCAGGTATCTATCTGTCAGATTTAACATACATTGATTCAGCGTACCCATCAACGGGCAGCATTCTAGAAAATGAGCAAAGATCAAATTTAATGAATAACATCCTTCGCATAATTTCTGATTTACAGCAGTCCTGTGAATATGGTGAGTTTCTGGAGGTGATGCTGTGAGTCCGTTTATTGACACAGGTTGACGGCCACTTTTCACACAGCAGGGAACATCATCTTAGTATAAAGGAAAATGACGATTGTTTTATTTCACTGTTTAATATTTAGCATTCTGTTTAAGATCTTGCTTTGAAGGAACTGAAGTATTTCATATTTAAAATGTTACAGGTTTTATCTTTTGCTCTTCTATTTTATAGCACGTTTGCTAACATAATTTTCAAAATTATTTTCTCTTCTCTTCATCTCATTTGCTTTCCCTGATCTGTTATGAAAATAATTCTTAATAGTTTTTAGTTCAGGGAAGGCACTGAGACCCTTGATCCCTGGTAACAATCAGCTAGCTTACTTGAGTCCTGTGTTGGCAAGTAAATAACCAGTTTTTGTCCAAGATGTATTTTATGGAACCTTATATAGAAAGAGCTTATGCAAGCCCAACTGATTAGAAAAGTTTTTTTTTAATGTTTTAAAATGTTTGGATGCTTTCAGTGTGGTAGGGAATAAACTGATAGGCTGCTATAGCTGTATAATTTTTATACTACATAAAAACATTAAGCTTACATTATCTGAACGTTACATCAAATAATCTCTTATTTTTATCCTTTTCTCAATTTTTTTAATAAGACCAAATTATAGTGTTAAATTAATCTCATTTGAAATTTCTAAGTAGGAAAGGAAAAAACTACAAATGCGAGCCAGGCTTCAAAAAAAAAAAAAAAAACAGGAAAAACTAAAACTGCTTTACGTCTTGCGTTTACAAGAGGTTTGAGTATAAATCACAAAGATGTCTCTGATTTTTCCCTGTGAAGTTCCTCAAGAATGTGGGACTTTGTAAATGGAGCTGTTTGTTTCCTTTTAATGCATACAGACAGCATACAACTGTAGTTTTCTAAATTAGCTTCATTTTTACATTAGATAACATTTATCTCGATAATGTCCTTCTAGAGTTAATTTAAACTTTAGTGCCATGTAGCCTTAATTTACCTTGAAATACATTTTTCTCAGCTTTAACTTTTAAAATTCTGCCGAGCTGTACTTTATCAGATAATTAACTATCACATTTTGCCTAGATATCCCCATGTTGCCTCACGTCCAAAAATACCTGAACTCTGTTCAGTATATAGAAGAGCTGCAGAAGTTTGTCGAAGATGATAATTACAAGTAAGTTGGATCTTCAGAAGTGCTTTGTATGACTTTGTCCTGTCCTCCACCCTTCTCTCCGTGTATTTAAACATCTAAATCCTACATCTTATGCAAATGCCTGATTCAGTTGTACATTTACAATGGGAAGGGTATTTCATGTATTTATTTTTAACCACTTGGTGTGATTGAGCCAGTGTGCAAACGCCTTCTCTGGCCTTCTGTGAAAAACCATTTCATGTTCTCAAGTTACTGAGGGCTGATGTTTGATAGTTCTGATTTACATTTCTTCCTTTCTCTCTGTATTCAAGCATTGAGTCTTTATGGAAATTTATCTTTGAATAGGCTGAAAATTTAATGAAACCACCTACAAATAGAAAAATTACTCCTTTTTTAATGGTAATTTTTTAACACATCTTTGAACTTGTTTTGAATTGTTTTTTGTGGATTGAGAGAATATTGAGCCTTCTGGCCTCTACAGGTTAGAGACACGCTTGTCCAGCATAGCACCACACCTGCCCATTTCTCCAGTAGAGCAAGTCCTTCATTAAATATTTTTGAAGTTACTTTTGAAATAGCTGATGTCCATTTCCTTTCCACTAACCATCCACAGTAGTGCTCAGACTAGGAGGGATTTTTGAATTACTAATCCTTTCTGTTTTTCACGTATCATGCATCACAACTGTCGGGGTTTTTTCCGACGGGAGGATAAAGAGCTTATTTCTCTTGAGGCTTCTCATTTTCCTTGTAGCTTCATTTGTTAATTTCAGAAAAAGTTTTGCTTGGCTTTATTATCCAGCTGTTCCCAAGCTTTCAAATCTAACTTTGTGTCATCCACAATTATTTTTTCCAATAAAAAGTTATACTTTAAAATTGTATCAAAGTGAAAGACTACGTTGTTTTTTAATATTAATGCATTATATGAAAGTATTCTGATCTCATATGTTAGTGATTATCAACTTTTTTCTTCCTTGTAAAGAATTTTGCAAAACAGAATTAGTACCAATAAAAGGCCAGAAGTTCTAGAAAACAACTAGAAATAACTTTTCTTCAAATATAAAGCTTAAGGTACATATTTAAATGTATCTAGAATTTTATTAATGTTTGAAAATACTTTTATTGCCATTTCTCATCACATTATTACCACTTTATATTTTCATATCAATTTTTATTTCATAGAAAGTTTTTACATGGTAATTCATTTGAAAATGTACGACGTCACTGGATCAGCTATTTAAGGCTGGAGTTGCTTCACAGCTCTGATGTAGCCATGGGTTGTAAGCTTCTTGACTTGATGTCTGTGAAATATTTACCACTGTTTTTTCCATCTCTCTGATTACGACATAGCACAGCATTCATATTTTGTCCAGTGAGGTATAGAGATTATCTTAAAATATGAGTAAGTAGTTATTAAAATTGCCACATCTGGCTCCAGAAGCTTAATGGATTTAGAAGAAGTTAAAGTTTAAGAAGTGAAGTCTAAGACATTGTTGCACAGTTACAGAGGATGGTGAATTTTAATTCTAAATGGATAGAGTTAGCCACTTAAGCCATTAAGTAGTTTTAACTGAAATGGTTGGTTTTTTGGATGATTACTTTTAAATAAAGTGTTTTAGAAATTTTCAGTGCTACAGAGGCCATTAACCCATCCAATAAAGATTCTAGATTTTGCATAATATAATCAATAACATATGGGAAAGTTACTGAGTTTAATTGTCAAGTATCAATATAACCTCAAGTTAAATCTAACCTTTTAGTCATTCGTCAGATGTCTTTAAATGTGTTGAATTGTTTGGCAACAGTTGCAGTAGTTTGGGGAGATTTTTCTGTTCTTAAATATGACTTTTTAATGTTTTTTTCCCTTGCTGTTATTTCCTGGGATAACCATAAAATCAGCTTTGTATAAAAGAGAAATGAGATTTAACAACTAAAGAGTCCTCTTGAAGAAAAATATGTAGCTGAGATTATTTTGTAAAAATGTTTTTAGGGTTTTTTTTGAGGAAATACGTAATTTTATTATTATTTTATTAAGTGTTAATCATTTTATGTGCTTTGTTTCTTTCTGAAATTCAGGCTTTCATTAAAGATAGAACCAGGGACAAGCACACCTCGTTCTGCTGCTTCCAGGGAAGATTTAGTAGGTTAGTGCAGCTTTCTCTCATTACCGAGTCATAAACCAGATAACCTAATAAGAAAGAATATATTCCAAAGTAAATAACTACTTAGCACATTTTATACTGCATGTACAATTTTATTTTTGGTATTAAAATATATGCAGTTTTCCTATTTTTTTTTTGTTTTTTAATTTAAAAGTTGTAACAGTTTGTCACTGATGTACAAACAAATATGCCAACTAATCAAGAAAAATAGATACAACCAACAGAAAATAATAAATGTTTGTAAAATGAAAATAAATAAATGTGAATGTCTGCTCTTTACATTAAGAATGCAGCCCTGGGCAGTGAGGGTTGATTACATTAGAAATTTCTATGGTCACAGTGGAAAATTCTACTAATTTGAATAATTGTAGAAGTCAATTTTAGTGGCTTAATTTTTTTAATTTTATTCTAACGCTGGACCAAGTACTGAAAATATTTAAAAATAGTCATAGTCCCTTAATTTATTTGTTGCATTATAATGGGAACTCATATGTATACCACATAACCAAAAATATAAAATTGAAGATAATTCATTATTTAAGAAATCATCAATAAGTATCTTTTTTTAAAAAATTCTAAATACAGACCTTTGCTCTAAGTTTTATGTATATTATTGTATATTCTACAAATATTTGAGGGCCCGCTCAATAAGGTGTGAAGGAAGTAAGGGAACAAAACCATAACAATATCTGGGGGAAGAGTATTTCAAGCAGAGGAAAACATTTCAGTGTAAATCTCTTTAAATTCACTTTTCTTTTCATTCTTCAAGTGATATTTTGCAAATTCATGTACTTCTGAGTTCTTTTTTTTTAATTCCCATGAACTTGAACAGCGTCAATGTAGATTTAAATTCTAACTTAATGCTCTAACTTGAATGTACTCCTACACATTCTTTATCCAAGAAGAAACTAAAACTAAGAGTAAAGAAGTAATGTATAAAATTCTAAGTGAAGTAAGCCAGAAAGAGAAAGAAAAATACCATATGAGATCGCTCATATGTGGAATCTAAAAAACAAAAAAACAACAACAAAAAAAAGCATAAATACAAGACAGAAATAGGCTCATAGACATAGAATACAAACTTGTGGTTGCCAAGGGGGCGGAGGGTGGGAAAGTATAGATGGGATTTCAAAATTGTAGAACAGATAAACAAGATTATACTGTATAGCACAGGGAAATATACACAAGATCTTATGGTAGCTCACAGAGAAAGAAATGTGACAATGAATATATATATATGTTCATATATAACTGAAAAATCGTGCCCTACACTGGAATTTGACACATTGCAAACTGATTATAAATCAATAAAAAATGTTTAAAAATAAATAAATAAATAAAAACTCTAAATCAGAAAAAAAAAAAAGTAATGTATAAAATTAAATGAGCACTGAACTAGGACTAACTAGGGAGACCTGAGTGTTTAGGTTCCGTCTGTGGTGTAATATCCTGAGCCCATCTCTTCTAATTCTGCTGCTTCCTTTGTAAATGGGGAAAATATTTATACTGCCTACTTAGTGCAAGTAAAATAGATAGAAATTAATGGATTTTGTATGTTTTGAGCGTTTGTGTTTTAAAACTCAGAAAATAAGTATTTCTCACGTTCAGTTAAAACAAGTAGCATTAATATTATCTTAAAATTTAAACCACATTTTATATTTCATATCAAAGGATTAAAAATAAAACAATCTTTTCAAACCATTTGAAAGTTTCTCTCTCTTTTTTTAAATGCAACCCTTAGGTCCTGAAGTAGGAGCATCTCCACAAAGTGGAAGAAAAAGCATGGCAGCCGAAGGAGCCCTGCTACCACAGACACCGCCATCCCCCAGGAACCTGATTCCGCATGGACATAGGAAGTGCCATAGCTTGGGTTATAAGTCAGCATTTCTTAATCTTATCTTTCAAATTTTTATATATTTTTTCTAGTAGGGTTTATTTTCTATTTATTTCATTAGTTGAATAGAAAATAGTATCCTTGCTTAGGTTTATTTGCATCACAAGTCTTTTTCTGATTCAGTAAAATATTTTGTTTGATAAAGGCATTCATTTCTTCCTTTACCTTAATTTGGAAATGAGCTTTTCCCAACAGTGCCCTCACATTTAGGGGAGATAAATGAACATTACAAAGCATCATCATAAATAAAATCAGTAAAGCAATATACCATTTCCCTCTGAAATAGTAACTTTTATTCCAAGGTCGTCTCATTCCTTAAGTTAACCAAAATAAGTGACCATAAATAAAGCCTATAAAAATTGTTATTTTTATCCTAAATATAAGGAAAGGGAAACTGGTTTTTTGTTTAGCTTTGCAAGATTGTTTTCTCAAAATGGGGCCGAAGGTTCACCTTTGCCATGATTTTCATGAGGATTTGATAGCTACTTTCCAAAAGTGGATGTGAAAATGATTTTTAATGGACCCAAGACTCAAGATAAAATTAAAGCGTTCTCTGCTACAAAGGTAGATATGGTCTAGCTTCCTAAAAACTTTTCCCTAACCTGGTAATTTGAGGCTTTCATGGTAAAATTGATGTGTTCATTAGTATGAGAGTTCAGAAGTAAGTTCAGATAGCAGGTAAAGCTTTTAAATCCTAAATCTTCATACAAGAGTATCTTTTATATTCTGAATTAGTAACATTAATAAAAGATAAGAAAAGTATTTCTCTTTGTTTTCAGTTTCATTCATAAAATGAACACAGCAGAGTTCAAGAGTGCAACGTTCCCGAACGCGGGGCCGAGACACCTGCTAGATGACAGCGTCATGGAGCCCCATGCGCCGTCTCGAGGCCAAGCTGAAAGCTCTACTCTTTCTAGTGGAATCTCAGTAGGTGAGAAATACTGGATTCCAACTTATGTAAAATAAGATTTTAAACAAAACTCAGCTGGGGAAGAGCCATGAACCCTACTCCAACAGGAAAAATTTGATAAAACCTAAGAAGCAAAGTAGATATATGATCATATCACTAGTAGGTACTGAGGTTAATAATTCATGATCGTTTGAAAAGAGCTTGATGTTTTTGACTCCAAAAGGGGAGGTGTTCCGGAATGGTTGGGGGCAGAACATGAGCTGGTTGAATTGGTTACTGCATGCAGGTGGGATGTGGGAATGAGGAAAAGGGCCAGTCAGGTATGACTCCCAGTGTTTTGGATTAAGCAGCTGGTTAGATGGTGGTGCTGTTACCAAGGAAAAGAAAGAAGACTAGAAGAGTAACCATTTGTACGTGTTGAGGTATTTGTGAAGGATGACTAGGTTTGGGGAACTAAGAATTCTGTTTTGAACATGTTTGGTCTGTATTGAGTTGTCAGGTAGGTAATCAGATGTATAAAGCTGAAGCTTAAAATAGTGTTAAGTCCAGGTCTGTAGATGCAGGTATAGGAATTAGCATATTTATAGTATTGAGATGGATAAGGTCACCTAGGGAGAGAATGTAAATAAATAAGAGAAGATATTCTAACATTTAGAGATGTAATTTTTTTTTAATCTTTATTGTAATGGTGGGCCATCAAAGGAAACCATGAAGGAGGGACCAGTGAAGTAGTGGGGAAAAGCAGTGTGGTATCACAAAAGCCCAGTAGAGAAAGTGTCTCCAAAGGGAGGGAAGTTTTGAATGTATCAGTCTCAAATGTGCTAAAAGAGAGGTAAGCTGAGAATGGGAGTAGATCTGTGGATTTGGCAAGATAAAAGGCATCTGATGCCCTTGATAGGATTTGCTTTATAGACTAGTGTGGGCGAAGCCCTGATTAGAGAAGACTGGAGAATGAAAGGTAAGAAAAGAGAGATGGTTACGAACAAGCGGGAGCAGAAAACCGGGACTGGAAAAGGTTGTGAGATTGAGAGGAATTTGTTTGTTTTTACTTCCTAAACTTCTATTCATTTTCTGAGCCTTCTAGATGAGCATTATTTCTTTGGATAGTTAGGAAATCCCCATACAATGCTATTTTTATTTTTTAAAAGAAAGAAAGGAGGAAAATGTCATCCTCTGTGATTGCGCCAGGTTCCTCAAGGGCTAAGCCTGTTATTAGAATACGATCATCCCAATATTGACGAACGGTCAATAGAAAGAAGTGAAGTTCATTTTCTCGAACATACTGACTTTCTTTAATCCTTGAGTTTCAAACCCTGAAAGTGAAATTGCTTTGGAGCTAGAAAGCTCCATTCAGCGGGGTTTTTTTTTTTCCAATGTTCCCCTTTTTATAAATGCAAATGATGAAATGATGACAAAATTTACAAACTAGGAGACAAGTTGATCACATGAAATATCTCTTTATTGATACTGTAAATTGCCTATATGCAAATATCAGCCTGAATCTGAAAAATAATACACAGAATAATTTTGCAAAAGAGAGAGGAAGAACTTTTTTCAAGTTAAAAATGTTATGCTTAACAGAATCCAGCATGCCACTTCAAGCAAAAAATAATAATTTTGAAAATTACAGCTTTCAATTCAGGACAAATTATTTGGCTTTTTACTGTCATAAGTATTATAGTGACCATTATTCTCTGTTTGTGGCTGTTACTTTCCATTGATGTTCCTTTGGTTACCAGCCCAACTTGCCCAGCCAAAGTGGGCACATCCACTCGGAGCTTCAGGCTTCTGGAAAAGCTTACATTTCCTACAAATTAGTCATACTAATTATGCTTAAGCTTTCAGTCTTTAACACATAACCCTGCACATCCGAAGATCATCTACAAGACCCACAACAGATTATCTCCAGTTTCTCATCTGAACCACACAACCAGAAAATTAGTTCAGTGGCTGTTACTCAGTTCCTCCAAGGACAGCACATAACCCGTGCCATCCTAAACACATGGAAGATGTGTTACTCCATCACACGGGATGGACTCTTAGTAGTATTTGAGTTTGAGCCTCTCATAGAACCCTGGTTATGAAAGTCTGATCGATGATTCAACTTGATACATAAAGGACATATTAATTACCAACTTCATTGAGAGCCAGTATTATCTTTAAAATAACTTTAAATCACCCTAAGCTGTTTTGGACTCCACATTCTTTCCCCTCAAACTAAGCTAATTTAAAACGTTGCTTTAACTGGTATACTGGCCCTCTGAGAGAAACTTTGGCATTGTTATAGCACCTTTTAAAAAAAAAATGTAAGGATTCCATTCTGTTCTACCTTGCCTCTAAAGGCAAAAATCCAATTTCCTTAAGCTTTTTATCCTTAGGGTAGTAATGGATTTTAAAAGGAATACGAAGGGAAGTATGCCATGAATCTTTAAGAAATTCATAATTATATAGTTTTTAAATTAAAACCAACCTAATAAGGAAAAAACTCGTGCTTATGTACATTCTCTGATGGTAGAATTGTTTACTAGTGTAATGAATTTGAGCCACAATTACACATGCAAAAATGTTTTGTGCTGTTTTGCTATTGTGGATAGTCTTGTCAATTCTATTTGGATATTTTGCAAAATAAATCTAGTGCAGTGATGTTAGAATGAAGAATTGATCTGTGGATGTCCCCCACAAATAATGTGACTTTCACTTTGTAAGCACAGTTAAAGAATTTATTTTTTAAATATAAAATCCAAATTGTAATTAGGATATTTAAAAAGTAGGATCATTTTTGATTTTAGGTAGCAGTGATGGCTCTGAACTAAGTGAAGAAACCTCATGGCCTGCTTTTGAAAGGTAAGAAAAATTGTCCATTTAAACTGCTTTGAGTTTATTTTGTCTCTGTAAGTGTATGATAAGTGAACTTTAAGGCATAATGTTTATTCTGTATCTCCAAGGGACTGTTTGGGCTTACTGATGGTGGTAGAAATTAGAAGTTGATATTTAAGTCTGGAATTTAGTCTGATCTAGTAAAGATATGTTTATTTAGTGGCTTGACACATATATTTGAATTTTAGTACATTTTACATTGTAATTTAAAAATAATAATAACCAATCGTAGCTTACCTACTTAAGTCTTTAAAAGTAAAATCATTTTTTTTAAATTACGGTTCATTTAAGTAATTTAAGGCATTTAGTGGAATGGTCATCTTCATTCTCTGCTGCTTTGTCAAGAGCAAAATGACTTAATAAATTTTAAATTACACTGTAAGTAAAGCAGCTTGAAGTTTGAACTTAAATTGTCATTAATTTGAAGTTGGCACAAAGCACATGGATTTATACTGAAATAATGTAAGTCGTATTCTGTTCTTTCCCTGGATGCTTTAAGCAGTAAAAGCTGTCTTCTGCTTGCAGCCATATCGATCTTCCAAAATATGACATTCCTAAAAATGTAGTCAAACAGTACAAATAATTGCTATTTAACAAATGTCCATTAGAATTTTTTATTATCTTTGGCCATTTCATTCTCTGCCATTTTCATACTAAGATACTTGAATCTTGACCAGAATAATTATCCCCTTTTGTATATAAACTAAGCAACCTAAGTTTCTAAACGACAAGATTAGTTTGCATTTTGTCATTTAGATTGAATTTTGAATGTCATGTTAAAATTGATGAAGTTGAAAATATTTAGTTACCTAACTCCCTATCAGTCACTTTTTAATAGAAAACAGTTATACTAACTGTACGTTTGAAATTAAACTATACGTATTTGAATTGGTTAATTTCGTGTTACAATTGGAAAATTAGACCCTTGTTTTTGATAAAGATTTCTCACCATTATGTGCTTAAGATTTTACTTGTAAACCCAAGAGTTCAAAGTACTTTTGAGCCTTTCTGCTCTAATTATCAGTGTTCCTAAGTTTTATCCTCTTTGTTTTGGGGGGTTTTTAGCAGTCTGTTTTTACGTATTATTTCTTTGCCAACTTTTTCTTTCAGTCTCTTTATTTGGGCTTGCCTAAAACAGGAAAAACATGAGCGTTGCCCCTGGTGTGTTGTCTGTACAAATTGTCTTACTAGTTCTTTCCCTCTAGTAAGAGCACAATACCATCAGATGTTGATTATAGAGTGTATTGTTTTTAGATTGAAAATATTGATGAACAAAAGTGTTTCTCATGTCATGAGTTATAAGCAAGTGACTGGAAGGATGTCGTGTTAAATAATCTGTCCTTATCCCAGCAGGTTACTTATGGAGATGATATTTAACAGTGTTACCTTCACATCACAAAACAATGTTTTTCTTTTGATAAAATGTTTTGCCTTGCAGACACTTGCAGCCAAAACATCTGTTGTACTTGTGCCAAGTTTAAATCAGTGGCTCTTGGAACATTTTGAGAACAAATTAATGCTGTCCAGCAAGACTCAGACATGAAATAATAAAAAGTGAATAAAGAACTAGGATTCCAAATGCTGCTTGTGGATAGTGAACTTTGAAAATTGAGAGACCTCAAATACATTGCCACTTAAGTTGCTAAAATAATGCTTTTTGTTTTAAATATCATTTGTCAGCTGGGCTACTGTTGGCTTTTCCTAGGCAAAGAGCTATCAGTGTTTCCGTGTGTGCGTACTTCCTTTGTTAAGTACTCCCTGCCGTTTTGGATGAATATTAACTCATATCATGTTTATCATTTATTGACTTTATCGTGTATTTATTCTAGTTAATGTAAAAACAAAGTAATGCCTGTATTTATTACTCAGTTCATCTCTTTTAGTGGTTTTCTTGGATTTAATATAAAAGATGGAAAGGAAAATAAGATATTTAGGCCAAATTAATTTTAAGTTTATAGGTCACTTTGCTTTTAGGTGTCTTCACAGGGACAAATAATAAGAACAAATTATTTATGTAAATCCAGGTATCATATTTAAAGGAGAATCCAAGAACTGGAATAGAAATAAAAGGAGTATTTTTCAGGTTTTGGTAGTATTTGATTATAAATAGCTCTTTATTTCAGTAGATTTGCAGAAGTGAGTGATTATATAAAAGATATGGTTCAAACTAATAAGAACTTTAAGTATTTCTGGAGTCAATAGTAGAAGAATAAAATTTTTTGAAATCAGTGCTTCATGCTTTAAAAAAGACAGAGGAGCAATCACATACTCTCCTTCTGTAGGACTTAGAAAGCTGTGTTACACAAAGAAATTACTGTACTGTTCTAGGTTATTGATAATGACTGTGTGAATAAAAGTATTTGTAATACATACAATTTATAATGGAATCCAACAGGAACAGATTATACCATTCTCTCGGCCCGGTGACAAGAGTGGCACGAAATGGCTATCGAAGCCACGTGAAGGCCAGCAGGTACAATTCCCCTGCACTCAGGGGTCACAGAACTCCCCTCTGGTGTTGGTGATCGGCTTACATGGGTGTGGTCTCACGTTACTTCTGTTCTTTCTCAACTAATTGGTTTAAAAACTAAACAAAGCGCCCATGTAACTTTCTTTCCAAGATTTAATCTAGAGATAAATTTGAACTATTCTTTCTGATCCACAGAGCTAATTGCTAGAACTTGCGTCTTTATGTCACATTTTAAAAATAATTCCAAATCAGTAGCTTTGCACAGGTCTTTCTAATGTTGCTGATTATTGGGTGAGCAGTACAAAAATATGCTTATTATTCAAAGGCTGCAGTTGAAGCGTTCACTTTGCTAATAAGTCTGCATTCAATTTGTCTTTTTAAGAATTTTTCAGATTAACTGCAGGTTCTGAATTTAGATAAGTCTGTTTTATTAAATAATATTTGTGTGTTTAAACTCATGTTCATTCGGTTTTTCATCTAGTTAAATCTGTTCTGTTTCTGCATTATCTTAGCTGCAGAAAAAGATGAGGATGGTAGATTGACTGGGGGCTGGAGATTAACTATAGTGGATAATCAACCAAAACATAATACAAGAAGATAGCAAACTTTAGAAGTGGACTTTATGTCAGATTAATGGTGTCTAGTCTCCTTGTGTATATACCTCCCCGAATGTAAGTAGCTCCACCTTGAAATTTTTAGTGGTTTTTAGGTTTTTAAGTCACTTTGAAGACACCTAAATAATCAAAAAGGGAAAAACTGGCAAATTTCAGGTTTTTTCACTCTTGTAAGAATTCTGCAGCACATGTCAAATCGCCAGATAAATGACAGATTTTTTTTTTAATCTGTGTATATTTTAATTGACTCATGTAGAAATTGTTCTTGTTTTAAATATACGACCTTAAGTGAGTTGGGGAAAGATATTTAAATGTTTGATTATTTTGTGATGGTTTTCTTCAGATACAAGAAAAAGAAATCTTGAGTTTTGGAGTCACTCCTTTCTTGGACAGCTTTTGGGTTATAATCACTTATTTGCATTGATGACATTTAAGTGTCATTAAATTTTACTGCAGAAAGTCAGTTTTTAAAAATAAGTTGTTAATTGCCTCTATTATTTTCGCCTATTTTAGAATTAAGCATGGGTGTTCTTTTTCTTTTTTCCTTTTTTGAGCCTCTGCTATTTTTATTTAGAGTTTCATATGCTTAAATACTTTTAACAAATAAAATCCTCATCTCTTCTACCAGGACTTAAGTTTCTAATGGGGAAAAAAAGGTTTCAACAACGATGCAGTATGACATGTTAAGCAGAAAATTAATTCAATCTTTGCTAAAGTGAAATGCTGTATTCTTTCTAAATTATACTTGTTCAAATATGTAATAAAATGTGTGTTTTTAACCATCGGCTGCCTTTAATAACCTCCTGATTAACTTTGTGACAGCTTATAAATTTCAGATCAGTAAACCCTCATAATTGTCAGTCTTTCTCATTCTGAATCAAGTAACAATTTTAAAATAAGACTAATTATATTTTATTTAAGTACTTGATACTTACTACAGACAAAAGTGCTTATATATTCTTCTCTTCATTTCGTTGTTATAGTTCTGCAGAATCAGAAGATTTGGCAGTACATTTATATCCAGGAGCTGTTACTATTCAAGGAGTTCTCAGGAGGAAAACTTTGTTAAAAGAAGGCAAAAAGCCTACAGTAAGAATTTGTTATATTGTATTTTAATCCACCTCTAAAAATAAGCAAATGTATAGGACCCTAGGAAATATGAAGACAATTGAAATAAAAATACACTCAAAATAATTTAAAGTACACATATGCCTCATAATATTATTTAGTGTTAATATACCTGTCATGTAGATTTCATTTAAGTCGAACAAGGGCTTAAATCAAGATGCTCCTGATACAGTCCTTCTTTTTGATCCCTAATACAGATCTTGCACAAAACCATTTCTTAGAGAACCTTGAAAGTGTATCCTGTTGAGAAGTATTTTAGTAGTAAGTTTAGGAGAAATCGAAAATTAGAGTGAGTGACAACCCTAAAAAATGGAATTCAATTTGTTTTGTCAGTCCTAAGTTTATTTAAATCTCTGTAATGCAGTTTTGTTTTCCTACATAAAATAGGATGCAGATTCTAAATGTCCTCCAGCCATAATTATATATATATATATATATATATTATTTTTTTTTTTTTTTAAAGCTTAGTGGAACAAAGCTTTTCAGTTGTCGCACAGACGTCTGCTCTTCCCCAACAGCAGCAAGGTAGTTTGATTACTGAAGAAAGGTAGTTTTTTTTTTTCTTTTCTCAAACAATATATTAATTTATCTGATTTGGATATATACACAAAATGTTATGATAACTCACAGAGAAAAAAATATGACAATGAGTGTGTATATGTCCATAAATGACTGAAAAATTGTGCTGAACACTGGAATTTGACACGACATTGTAAAATGATTATAAATCAATAAAAAAATGTTTAAAAATAAAAAATAAATAAATAAATAAAACTTTGACATATATCCACACTTAAAGTTTTTGAAGTTATGAGGGATTCTTAAATTATAAAAATGGTCTACATCTAAGGAATCTGATTTTGCTGCTTATATTACGGTAAACCTCAGGCACAGTCAGTCAAGAAGTGACACTAGGCCAGCTAGTGAACTCAGAACGGCTCGTAGGCACTGCCTCCCCTGTTGTGTGCAGGTGCTAGAAACAGCTGCAGGCAAGATGAGGCACAGTGCCTGCCTCGGGGAGATTACGTTCTGATGAAGAGAAATAGAAAATAAGCCCTTCCGACAAGGGGATGAGACGGAGAATGATAGGGTGAGGAGAGATGTCGCCGTAGCAGGGCATCTGAGCTGAGATCTGAGTGAGGAGGGTGAGTTAGCCATGTGAGGATGTCGAGTTCAGGGGACAGAAGACCTTATGGTGAAAGCATTGAAAGTGGGGCGGGGCGGGGGCGGAGGAGATGAAGTCAGAGAAGGGCTGGGGTTCCTTAATGGTGGGTTAGATGTGATGTATGAGAGAAGAGGGGGAGTGAAGGTGACGTCTGGGTTTGGGGCTGAGCTGGGTGAGCGTCAGGGACATTTTCTGAAACAGGGGAAGTTTTTTTGAGAGGGGCCAGCTAAGTCTTGGCCAAGTTCAGTTTGATAGACTTACTAGACACTTAAGTGGAGGTGTCAGTTTGGCTCTTTAAAGACTGCTGTTCAAAAGTTCAGCAGAGAGGTGGTGGCCAGAGAGAGATTTGGGAGTGATTAGCAAACAGATGGTATTTGAAGTATGAGGCTGGGTAGGATAGATTATCTGCGGAGGAAGCGTAGCCAGGGAAGAAGAGAGGGCTGGGGGTAGAACTCCAGCATTTAAAGGTCAGCTGGCAGAAGAGTGTGGAGGAAAAGTGAGGGCCTTGTTATCACAGAAGCTTAGCATCTGTGTCAGATGCTGCGAAGGGGCTGATTATGATAAGAACAGACGCCTTGGTACATGTCGATGGTCAGTGGCCTTGACCACGGCAGCCCAGATAAAAGCAATTTGAGGAGAAAATGGGCAAAACAGAGGTAGAGGCAGGGTTTAGAGACAGCCTCGTGAGAAGCTTTGCTGTGAAAAGGAACGAAGAACTGGGTGGTGTCTGACATGTGAGGAGATGGGCAAAGGAGGGACCTGTAAAGGTGAGGGTACTGTTGGTGTAATGGTAGAGGGAGAGAAACTGAGATGCAGTGGAGAGAGGAGTAAATGACAAAAGCAAGTTGGACAGAGAGTAGAAATGTAAAGCACTAGGAGAGCTGAGTTCCTCCTTCAGTGGAAGGAGGTTTAACTCTCCTGTTGCAGGAGAAAGAATGTGGGTCTGCAAACAGGTAGTTAGATGGAATTGGTCTGGGAGGTAGTCCTCACCAGATTTCATCTGTTTTCCTAGGAAGTATATGCAGTGGTGTCATTCAGGGGTAGAGTATTAGAATTTTAAAAAGAGAGTGTGAAATAGTTATCTTCAGAGAGAGAGGGTATCCTTGATTGGGTAGAACGGAAGGACTGTTAATTTCCATTTGAGGTCTTTGGTCATCATTTTGTCAGTTGGCACAACGATGTGATTTCTCCAGCCATATTCACCTACTGTGAAATGATACCAGGTCATCCGAAGGTTAGACTTAACTAGGGTTGGGGTCTTATCAGGAGAGAGGGGCAGTGAACGTACTTGGAAGGGAATGGATTTGTGGCCAGACCTCGCAGTGCGAGCTAAATATGAAGAAAGGGGAAGGCGGATCTGGGATGGGGAGGTGGCAGCGATGCTAGATGATAAAAAGTGAATGAACGTACTAGTAGAATATGTTAAGTGGACCTGACAAGAATATTTCAGCAGTGATGCAACGCTGAGGCCAAGCTCAGATGGTGGCAGTGAAGTGAAGTTAAAGCACTTTGGGCTGAGGAGGCAGAGTGACTGAGGGGCTGGTAGCATTTGAGTAGTAGTTTCATGTGTTTGTCCTCTCCAGGTAGCATCTTGGACGAAGTATTGGGCAGCTCTGTGTGGGACACAGCTTTTCTACTACGCTGCCAAGTCTCTAAAGGCTACAGAAAGGAAACATGTAAGTATTCCTGTTCTAAACTGTTAGCATGGGGGACTGCCAAGATGGCAGAGTAGAAGGACGCATGGCTCATCCTCTCCCACGAATACACCAAAAATTACAACTACAGACCCATCAATTCACACAAAACACCTACTGAACCTTGGCAGAAGATCTCTTTGAAATACAAGAAGATGCCTCACAAAAATGAGTAGAAGGGGAAAAAAAGTAAATTGTTAGCGTAGTTTCACAGCCTCTTCATGGTTGTGAAGAAAGTAGTCCTAATAGAATGCAGGGGTTTATTTGTTTGTTTTTTACGTATTCTAGTCCAGAAGTTCTTACGTTCCTTCCTGGTATGAGTACTGTAGTGCAATTATTTTTATTTAGTAAGACCATTCCGAGGAAGGTCTTGGAATAACTTCCATATTTGGAAGTTCCTTTTTTGAATGCTGCTTTTCCATTGCTAATGTGAAAAGTGCACATTACAAGTATCTATTTTGGCATCCAAGCCCTCCCAACCTGGATTTTTTGTTTAGAAAATGGTTGAAAACTATTGCCTTGGAGTCTTGGTTCCTAACCTATAAAATGTGAAAAATTAGGACCAACATCTGCAGTTCTTTCCACCTCAATCACTGATTGATTGACTTTCCCCAGCAGTGAAGAGGACTAGTCGTTACTAAGGTTACTATGGTCTCCTTGTGCTTAAGCCTCGAAATGCTCTTTTCTCCAAATGTAGACCTTCCTGGAAGTCTTCTTTTGCATGCTGTTTTGTTTAAATCTAGTCATGAGGAGACATTCAAATCCACATTGTGGGACATTCTACAAGACAATGGCTTGGATTCTTAAGACCAAAATTTGGCAGATGGAGTTGGGTAGGGGGCTCGGAGGACTGATGTAGATTAAGAGAAGCTAAAGGGTCTTAACGCCAAATGCACTGTATGTACCTTGGTTTAATCTTGGACATAA